TTCAAATACCAGTGGCATCTAGTAATGACAGAAATATTAAAAATGTGTTTTAATATATTTATGTTGATTTCACCAGGAGACACGCACAAAGTATCAAATTGTAATGCTAGTAAAAATGAATTCATTTATTTATTTACTCAATTTATATCTGCAGTGTGAGGCTCTAGGCTAGGACACCATGAAAGACTTCTAAGTCATTCCACTGGGCTCCCCTTTGACACACTGGGATGACACATTGGTTATTATTTAGCAAGGTTTTTCATAAACAGAGTCACAAATTCTCAGAGTTGAAAGGAGTCTTGGAGTTTATGTAATCAGACCAGTACCTCAACAAGCCATGTGGAACAGTGGAATCAGGAGTTAAAAGACTCTACGTTATCATCACTACGTTCCACGGCAAACCACCTAACTAACCTCTAAGAATCACTACAACATAGTAATGATCATGGTTTTGTATTCCCCTTTTCACCTAGCTGTCTTCAGTTCTCCCACCAATTTTCAATGTTTATTGTCATTTTCTAGATAAAGCCTGTTATTCACATCAAAAGACCAACATCTTTCCCCCTGAAATATAATCAGTTTTTTAAAACATGTAATGTTCTGATCAAAAGTATATTATTTGATATTCAGCAGCATCTCAAAATTTAGCATACAGTATTTCCAGAAATTAAGATATGAAATAAACCCATCACATTTTCTCTAAACACATCAGAACCAGAAGGCTCTGTAGTCAGGCCAAGAAGTGCTGAGCATGCCTAGGTTTAAAATCTCTTGTTAGCTGTTTGACCGTGGGCCAAATGACTCAGTTCCTTGATCTGTAACATAATGGGGGTACACCACTGGGGGTTCTTGGCATCTTTTTGTGTCATGGACCCCTTGGCAATCTGGGAAAAAACCTATGGATTCTTCCTTAGAATAATGTTTTTAAATGCATAAAATAAAATGCATGGGATTAAAAGGAAAACAAATTATATTGAAATAGAATTATCAAAATGTTTTAAAAATATGTGATCTCTAAGATCACTTTCATTTCTAACAACATATAATTCATAAAACACACACACACACACACACACACACACACACACACATTCTACTACTATCACTAATCATGACCAAGAACAACAGTTAGGAAGCATAGTGGATACAGCACTAAATTTTGATTCTGGAAAATCTGAGTTCAAATCTAGCTTCAGATGCTAGTTATAAGATCCTGGGCAATCCACTTAACCTCTGTTTGCCTCAGTTTCCTCATCTGTAAAGCAGAGATGATAATAATAGCACACCTATCTCCTAGGGTTGTTTTGAGGATAAAAATGAAATGATATTTGTAAAGCACTATTAAAAAAAACCCTACAAAACACTAGCTATCATTAACAATAGATCTTATCATTTGTGATGCCTGGTCGTACAGCAGTACCAAGGACAGGGTTTCAAATCCTATCTATATGAAATGAGGCCAGTAACTTGCCCCTTCCAGGAAGCAGTTATCTTGCTGGCAAAATTAGAGGAGTGCTGTACTACATGATCTCTGAGGACCCTTCTGACTCCAAAACTAGGAGCTGATAATCTTAAATGGCTTACTGATAATAAAGAGGTACTGTTAACAAAAATTAGAGAACTGACATGGTAAAATCACAGATAAAAATGAAAAACACTTAGAAACAGAAATAACAGCCTCTGGGTTTTCAGCAATACAACTGGCCTTTATAACACAAACCACTTAATAGCAATTTTAAAAGGTAATTGGGGGGGGGGTGCTAAGTTCCACATATTAGTTCTAAGCTTCAGCATCCAAGAGATATTTCCTAGGAAACCAAAACATCCCAGACACAAATATTGTGAAATGCAGTCCCCCAGCATGTAATTTAAATTCACCATTAGGATTCAGAAACCTAGGTCTTCCTAATGCCTTCCACAAAAGGAGCCACGTGCCCTGTGGCCAGACAGATTTAGTAGGGAGCTGAGATCAGCCTTGGAAGAAAGTAACAAACACCATTAAAGCTGATAAATAAGAAAAGCCAGTATCTACCCAGGTCGCTGCCTCCATGCTGTCTAAGCTGCATGGTGAACGTGCACATTAGGGGTTGTTACTTACTCTAGGGATTCCCGTATCAGTAATTCACAGTAACTGCCGAAGCATAGGAGAAAAAAAAGCAGGGGGAGAGGGGGAAAGGGGGATTGCTTGACCTTTCTGAGTGAGCAAAAAGTCTGCATTAAAAGATATTATAAATTTATTTTGTTATGTTCTAATACATTTAATAACTAGATCTGGGCTGACAAACCAAGGCCAAGAAGAAGCCTTTTGAGGACCCCCTTTTAATTAATTAATTAATTAATTGATAATAACAGCAACTAGCACTTTATCATGTTATAGGGCTTGCACAGTGCTTTGTAAATATTATCTCTTTTGAGCCTCACAATAACTGGGAAGTTGGTGTTATTATTGTCCCCATTTTACATGTGAGTAAACTGAGGCAAACAGAGCGTAAGCGATTTGCCCAGGGTCACACAACTAGTCTGAGGCTGGATTTGTACTCAGGTTTTCCTTACTGCAGGGTTCAGCTACTTCTGTGTGTATATATATTTATATGTGTGCATGTTTATACATGTGTGTATATATACATATATATGAAGAGAGCTATTATCTAGCATAATTGTGAATCACATATAAATAGATGCTTATAAAATGCTGGTTGAAATATAATAATAAAAATAGTATTTAAAGTTTGCAACACTATTTTGTATATATCTCCTTTGATCTTCACCATAACCCTGTTAGGTAGATACTATTATTTTCACTATTGTATAGATGAGGAAACTGAGGCAAACAGGGTTAAGTGACTTGTCCAGGGTCACACAACTAGTAAGTGTTTGAGGCCACATCTGAACTCAGGACTTCCTGACTCTAAGTCCAGCATTCCATCTACTTTAACACTTAGCTGAAAATAGTCTGCTATCTTGAAAAATTTAAACACTATCCTCTTCCCATTTGATTTATACTAGTAATTTGCTAGCAAACAATTTTCATAGATTGATCAGAGATAAATTTCAGCCCAAACCATATTTGAATAATCATGAAGTGTAAACAATTGAGGTTTTACTCCATAGGTAAATAAGAAAAAATAAACCCCATAATGGAGGACTCAAATGAGAGGGATGTGGTAGCGGTGGGGATAGTATGCAATAGGAAAAAATGGAGAACCAAGAAATAGGGTGGTGTGCTGGAAAAGGGAAGGATGATGTTAGAGTCAGGAGCTCTAGATTCAAATTCTATTCAGACATAAACTAACTCTGTGACCATGTCAAAGACACTCAAACTGCCTAAACCTTTTGTCTGCTTCATTTCATATTCCAGAGCCATATTTTCAAGCATGTCATTTTTTGTTTGTTTGTTTGTTTTTACTGTCTTCCCCAAAAGATGCTGCTACTCAAGATTCAGTTATCTGGATCAGGGATTTTAACTTTTTGTATGATTGACCCTTTGGTGGATGAAAAAGTCTACAGACCTCTTCTCAAAATAATGCATTTTTATTGTAATTGAATGAAATGCTAAATTTCAGTTAAAGGTGAATGAAAATAAAGATGTAATTTTCAGTTAATAGTCCCCCCCAAACAAATCTATCCATGAATGCCTTTGGAGTATGGGGTCCCCAAGTTACGAACCCCAGATCTATATGATCAACTTTTTGCTTGTACTCAATTTTGACTACTGCAAGAATCATAGAGTCACAAATTCAGTGAGTCCAACCTCCACATTTTACCACTGTGGAAAGTCCAGGGTCACATAGCTAGGAAGTATGTGTATCAGAATTTGAACCTGTCTTCCTGACTCTAAGTATAACAGTCTACCAAGTCTCCCATGAAATGCTGTTTCTTGTTGCCTTTGGACAAATAATAAACCCAGTTCTAGTAATTCCTTTATTTGTTTCTTCTATGAGAACCCTATAGTCAGGAATGAGCCGTCCTCATTCCTAAATGAAATCTCTATAAGGATTTAACATAGCACCAAATGACAGAACCTTCATTTCACCTTTAAATGGTAAAAAAACCAAAACAAAACAATTTATTCATTTCCATTCAGGTGTTTTTCCCCCTCAAATAATCAAAAACGTAAAATATGTCCTTAAAATGATAATGAGAAATGGAAAAAATGTCTTACTAAGCATCTATTTCTATCTATATCCTCTCAAGTTAAATTGCAAACATTTTTCTATGGAAAAAAAATACATTGACAAAAGTACATCAGCCTTAATATTAACTCTTCTAAAAAGTCATAGAAATTTAGGAACTGAACAATTCATACCAAATGATGACATCTAAATTGATCATCTGAAATTATACAAGACTTTCTCCCACAGCCATTTGACGAATACCATCCTCAAGAATTCCCTTTGAGGACAAAATGAGAAAGCTTTTTTCTAGTCTTACTTGTCTCCCCTAATGACACGAGGATGCTCCAATTGACCAAGATACATCATTTATACAAAAGTATTTAGAGGATGTACACCTCAGTTTCACGTGAGAATTTTAAAACCTGATCCTTTTTCTAGATATTTCATTTTGTATTTGCATACCCAGTTCTTTCTTTCATTCTTCCACCTCTACCTACTGCCTGATAACTTCCATTCTAACTGGAAAGCAAAGGTATGTAATGGGAGGGCCATGGATTGACTCCAGTTACTACTGTCTCAGGATAGGTGTGAGTTCTCCATTTATCCACATGGGAGTTAATCTTAGGAAAGAGTAGATGGGAAAGGCACAACGCAATGCCACGATAGTCTTGTGTTCCTTTCTTCCCAACAGCCTTAAAAACAAATATAACAGAAGGATTTCTTTCTAAAATAAGATAAAATAGTGTCTCGACAGGAGCCTTAAATGCTATGGAGCATATATAAACATGCCCTCAATGAAGCCACTCTGCTAGAGCTGACTGATCAAAATGTCAGGGCACTCTTAAAGTCTTTTACTATGAATGCAATACTGAATATTGTACTTACAGCTGCATAACCAAGTATAAGTGATTCGGACTTTCATAAATATCTTCCAGAGCAACGATATTTTCATGCTTAATTCTAAAAATTAAAAGAGAGAGAAACAAAGATTAGAGTAACTTGTCATTAAATTTTAAATGAACAAAATTCCATATTAAAGGGGAAAAAACCCACGATTCCACTACTAGCAACTAAGAGCGCCTTCCTTGCACATAGCTAGCACTGGATAGATTCGGTCATTTGAATCCTGGCTGGGGTAGGTCTTTAATCTCTCTGGGTCTCAGTTTCCTCATCTGTAAAATGAAGGGGGCTAACCCACATGATTTTTTTACAACCCCTTTAACCTATTAATTCTATGAAATGAATCAAATTGTACACAGTCTGAAATGTGTTCTTCCTCCCAGAACTGTACTAATTTATTTCAATGGCCCCAGCCATATTCAGGTGTTGGGACTAGGGAAAGGGGGACAGGGAGGGGAGAGGCATAGGGGAGGGAAGGGCTTCATAAACCTAAGTCCAAACACTAATAGTAACACATAAGGAAGAAAACAAACTATCCTACCAGGTGCCAAACCATTAAAAAGAGACCTTCGTACTGACTAGTATGGGCTGTCCATCTTCTCTATCAAGTATCTCCTTAAGCCCCCAAATACCTGTTACTGTGCCAGTCTGCAGGACAGAGAAAAAAAAAATTTGAGGAGGCTTAGAGATTGAGAAACCCCCTCCTACAAGCCGTTTGAGCTCAGAACCTTAAGGCCCAATGCTTATTTAAAGCTTGAGATTTCCAGAAAAGAATCATTTCATTAGCCAATGTGCTAATTAATTGTTCACGGAAAATCCTCTCCCTTGGGATTTTACTGCTCCGCAATTTCAGCTGCGTTCAGCTGATGTGCATCCTCACTAAAGGCTGCCGCTGTTTAACAGCAAGAACACTATATTATTTAATTAGGGGAAATGGAGGCAATTTTCCTAAATGTGAGAGCAGCCTCTCCCTGCCTCCTTCTTCCCCTCTAGAATCACACGGTCCGATAAGTTACCCGGCATCCAAGCAAAGCCCAAAAGAATTAAGATGAAATCAATGGGTGGCATTTGGGGGGAGGGGGGGTTGTTGCTAGTTTTCCTAGTTAATACAATTTGCTGATAAGCTGAAACAGTGCGAATTACATTCAATTCACATTTCACCCACTTCTACTAGAAAATGCGGATGTTATCCATCATCAGATTGATTTCAAAAGGCTTACTGTGAGACGCCAGAGAAAGAATTATATCAGTAATATCAGAAAAACATTATATTGATCCGACAAAATGAGTCAGCGAGTAAACCAGGAAATACAGTTAATTTAGGACTGCCCGCCAGCCAATCTCGGGAGGTGCAAGGGAATGCCTGCCCAACTTCCTGAGCCTGGGGCACTATATTTCTGTTACTACATCTGACACCATATTAAGTGCGTCTTTTTTGTTTGTCTTTTTTTTAACAACCTGCATCATACTGTTAGCTCATCCTGGGCCTGTGGTAAAATAAAACCCCAAGTCTTTTTTACCTGATGCTAGATCAGAATTCTCCACTGTGCATTGTACTTGGACAAGTGAGATTTTTAATCTATATATAACACTTGACATTTATTTCTGTTGTGGTTCAACTTGTTCAGCCCGGCCCAATGGGCTTGGGTTTCAAGCCTATCAGAAGCATTTCAGATCTTGACTATATCCTCAGTTTTATTTGTTATCCCAGTCTCCTGTCATCTGCAAATTTGATATAACTACCTCCTAGATTTTATCCAAGTGGTTGAAAACAAAGAGTAACAGGACAGAGGTATAGGCAAAGCAAACGGTATTCCACTAGAGACCTCCATGCCAGTTCACGTCTAACATTATTCAAATGATTGGATGAACCAGCCACAAATTCACCAGATTGCCCTAAGAGTCAGTGGGGAGAAAAAGGGAGAGTCCAGAGTCTCTATTACACACCAAATAAAGGTCAAACTACTTAGCATGCCATTGAAGATGTTCTACAATCTGGCTCCAACTTACCTTTCCACCTTCATCTGAAACCATTCCATAACTTATCACTCATATTCCAGATAAACTAGACTCCTGTGCTTTTTAACTTCCTAGTTTTTCCTGTCCCTTCCCCCCATCTCTGACTGTTGGAATCTTGCCTCCACTTCAAGGCCCAGATCAAAAGCTACTTCCTCTATGAAGCCTTCCTTGGATAGTACATATTACACTAGTCAGAAATTACCTCCTTTCTCATCTGATCTCACAGCAATTTGCACTCCTCTTATACACTTACCATAGTCTAATTTGTATTTTTTTGTGTGTATATGCCTTTCTTTTTCTACTTAATTGTGAGCTCCTTAAGGCAATAAGTGTGACCTTGTTTTCCAATCTCCCCTTAGCAAATATCCTAGAGCCAACTCTTACTGGCTTGCAAGAGTTGATTGTTAAATTTTCATTGTGAATATTTATATTTCAGAAATCAGCAAACTATAAATTACGGCTTGGGTTAATGGCCTTTTTGATTTCTAGCCTTAAAGTGATGGGGAGAATATTAAACTTACATATTAAACTTAAAAGTGTGCTGGGCATACAATTTTTTGAGGGAGAGTCAGTTATTAAATGTTTACCAACACATCCCTGAATATTTACAAGGTGCGTGTTCTTTATGTGGCCATGAGCCAACTATTCAACCGCTCTGAGCCTCAAGGTGTCATAAAGAAAGCATGTTTTCAACGGAAAAATGCTAGATAAATGTGACTAGTTGTTAGTAAATATTTGAACGACTGAATGAATTAACTATAATCTAGCATATTAATGGTTTTGGTTGTTGTTGGCCATTCAGTAGGGTCCTATTCTATGTGATCCTATGGACAAAGTCTATGGGGTTTTCCTGGCAAAGATACTGGAGTAGTTTGCCATTTCTTCTCCATTGTGTCCCCATTTTACAGATGAAGAACTGAAGCAAATGGGGGTTAAGTGATTTGCCCAGGGTCACACAGCTAGTAAGTGTCTGAGACTGGATTTGAACTCAAATCGTCCTGATTCCAGACCTGGTACTCCATCCACTGAACCACCGAGCTCCCCCATGTTGATGTTCTACTTTGTCTTAAAAGTCAAGGTAGGGGGAGGTACAGTGACCTAGAGATGGGGTCTTTGGAGGAGGGGTTGCTCTAGCAAACAGATACTATCATAGCTGTAGAAGAAATATCTGAAATTGCTGCAAGAGCTAACAGAAAGATTTCATGGGCATAGGGCTTTCAAATAGACAATTTGTGAAACAAAGAAGAAAGGGATGTCAGATGTGTGTGTGCAGAGAGCAGAAGTCTGGACACTCCTACTGCTACAACCCTATGGATCAAACCAATCATGGACTGCCTGGAAGCAGGAAGACCCACCTCCCCCAGGGAAAGGAAAAGGGAACCCTTCCCCCTCTCCCCCTCCCTCATCTGGCCCTAGATTGCCCAGAAACCCTCTGTTGAGGTGGAAGACCCACTGCCTTTTGCACTATCACTGCATCCTCAGGTCCTCCAAGTTTTACCTATTGGTATGACCTAGGTACTTCTTGGCCCTAACACCTGCCCTGCTGCTCTCTCTACCTTTAGGACTTCCAATTTCTCACATCTGCCCTGCAGCTCCCCTCTCTTTTATATGTTGTCTCCCTAATTACAGTGTCAGCACCTTTAGGGCAGGGACCAGCTCCCTTTTCTCAAAGCTCTTAGTAGGTTCTCAATCTATGTTTCTTTATTCATTCAAGCCACAATCTTTCCTACTAAAAGAACTTTTTTTGCGTGAGGCAAAAATCTGAATTCTGCAGAAGTGACATGAAAGGAACCATCGCCATGTCACTAAGGGCACCTTTAGGAGACAGAAAATGGCATTTAATCTTAATTTCATTTGGTAAAGTGCCCAGGCCCAGTAGGCACAAAGAAGCATTAGCCACTGCCTGTGTACGCAACATATGTTTATAAAGACAAGCACGGAGCCTTGAATGTTAAATTGGTGTTTACTAAATGTTTGTTAAACTTGTAAAATTAAAATCACCTTCAACTCTTAACCCTGAAAAAACACAGGGGACGGAAGGGAAGAAAAGCTAAAAGGCTAAAGGCAAAAAGCAGATTGCTTCAATGCAGAGAACTCCCTGCATGGTCACTGACTCAGCCAAAAGGAGAGACCCTCTGCCAGGGCCAGGAATACATATGAAAATGACATCATTTTTAAAAAATCATCACCAAATGCACAGCCCAGCACCATGCCAAAGGCCCCTCAGTTGAGAACAGTGTCATAGCATCACAGACAGTTTAATACTGGATGCTTTACTGAGATGATGCATCCTCTCTCCCTCCAGACCAATCCTTCCCACAGTGCCAGGATTCAGGCTGCATTGTTCCGTCTATGCTAGGGATCTTTGGATCCTCTCAAATCTGACCCTCTGCAACCCATCAAAAAGATAGAATATGGTGGAATCGATAAGTTGCTCAGAAGGGGAGAACAAAAGATATACCTTTTCTTTATTTCACAGAGATGAATACCTTACTGTGGCTGTGTCTTCAGGCTGAGAGTAGAATGCGTGAGGTCAAGGAGGGGAATACAGTTTAATCAGGAAGGGGCAGATCAGGACAAGGTGCTTAGCAGGGAGGGGTAGCTGGGGAAGCAGATGGTGACTAAGAAGAGACAAGGGCAGTCCTGATCCTGTTGACAGGGTCACCGAGAGGAGAGGTTTTGCTACCCTCCATCTGGTGCCCAGATGTTTGGGGAGAACTCCCCCAGGCCCTTCTCGAGGGTCATGTTGCCCAGTTTGAAAAACACAACCCTGAGGATAAAGGCTAGCTTAGCTAGACCTATAGAATAAGTAAAATATCAAAGGTCGAGTCACTCTCAATGTCATTAACATTAAATCTTTTTTTTCTATATAGATAGGGGAAAACTTCCTATTTGTCAAAATAAGCACCCTATCCAGTATCACATTGAACTATTTAAGAAAATGCTCCAGAATTTTGACAAATGGTTCCTTCTGCCTAGGTAAAGTGTTATATTGTCTTGGGATTTTACAATCAAATGAATTCCTTCTCTCTTAAAACAGA